CCAGCCTGTGTCCCCTCACAGTGTCCAGCTCTGACAGCAGCAAGACTAACCCACAGACCTGTCCTCCAGCCTGTGTCCCCTCACAGTGTCCAGCTTACGGCAGCAGGACTAACCCACAGACCTGTCCTCCAGCCTGTGTCCTCTCACAGTGTCCAGCTCTGACAGCAGCAGGACTAACCCACGGACTTTCTGAAATTTGGGTCTGGCAGGGCACAGTGGACAAGACATGGCTGTGTTCCTGGGGCCTAAGAAGTGGTGCACCCAGTAATGGAGGCCAGTGTTAGCAGGTGCTGAGAGATAGGAGCACCTTCGTGATCGCTGAGGCATGTAAATGTGTGTGTGCGTGAGTAAGAGAGAGGGAGACAGAGACAGAAAGACAGGAGTCCCAGAGCACGAGTGAGGTGGGAAACAAAAAGCAATTCCCTGGATGATGGAGGGTGGTCACTGAGGTATCTATTGCATTGTAAGCAAACATTACTGAGCCTCCAAAGACTCTGAAGTGAACAGGACAGATTTGGAGTTGAGGAGATGGCTAACACCTCTTGCTTTCCCTGGCTTCGGCCACTGGCCATGACACACACCCAGACGAGAAGGTTTAGCAGCTGGGCAGCTCTCGCTGATTCTGCACTTCATACACTCTTGCTAAGCAGTCCAGCCACACTTGATAAGAAATGAAGTACTTGAGTCTCTGACTTCCTGACCTATTGATAACAGTTTCAGATGAGTACTTCAACAAGCCACTTAATAAACACATCAAAATGAAACCAAACTAATAGAAAAAATCTCTTCTCCAGAAAATGCCAATTCAGTGTGTGTACACATATGTGTGTAGATGTTAGAAGACACTCTCTGCTGTCCCTCCTATGGCACAGTCTACCTTATTTTCCTTAAAATCTCTCCCGTGTGTGTGTGTGTGTGTGTGTGTGTGTGTGTGTGTGTGTGTGTATGAGCATACTCCTCCCAAAGGAGTGTATGTGTGATCAGAGGACATTTGTGTTAGTCCTGGCCTTCCACTTGTACTGTGAGCACTTTGCCCACTGTGCTATCTCCCCTGCCCAGCCATTATGTTTTCTTGAGACAGAGTCTTTCTTCTGGAGCTCGCCTACAGGTGAACTATCTCCTAACCCAAACTTTTTCTTAAAGTCAAGAGAAAAATCATCAAAGATAGACAATTCATAAATACCTATGAAGAGCCTTTTAAAAATAAAGATACATTTATAGGCGCATGACAACAGGGTAAGTTCTCATTTAAAAAAGTATACAATTCTCATTTTACAGAGAAGGAAATGGCTATACAGAGAGGCTTTGTGGCTTGCCCAGAGTCACACAGCTAAGTGGTGAGGGCCATGTTCCAAGCCTGCTGCCCTGTCCACCTGTGCACAGACACCGGCCTTGTCATCAGTGTGGCACGTTATCCTCTTTTTATCTCACTTTCAAAAGATACAGATAATCAGGATTACCAAAATCTCACTGGGAACACTGGCCAGTCATCTTTCCCCTGCCCATTCTTCAAGTTCATCCCAAGAGACAAATGAGTCTTACTAACACTATGTGAATGGTTAATAAGCATGCATGACAGAGCTAGGCCAGAAGACATCATAAAGCAATGTTTGTTGACCTACTTCTCCAGTTGAGTAAAAAACTGACTGCTGAACTTCAGAGAACCTCTAATTACAAAGTGCTGGCTTGTTTCATCTCTTGAAGACCAATGTGCCTTGCAGGTTACTTCAAGTTGAAAAGGTACCTAAGAGTCTTGCGTCATAATATGAAAAAAATGTGTCATGGTGTTGCAAAAATATTAGCAGTAGCTCTGTTTTGTCAATATCTATCTCATTGATGATATTTCTAAACAGTTTTGTTAAAACATTTTTATGTACCATAAAACTCACCCATTTAACGTGTACAGTTCATTAGTATTTAATATATTCAGAGTTGTGTTGCCACAGTCAAAATTTAGAAACACATTTAACACCCTAAAAAGCAACCCATATACATCAAGTCACTTCCCAGTTTCTCTCAACCCAAAAAGCACCTCATTACTTTCTGTCTGTGTGGATTTTCTGAATCTGGATGCACCAGCTTCTTGGGTTTAGCTTAGTGTCTTCAAGGTTCACTATGTTGCACGTGTACCAGATTCCTTTAATGTTCCAATAATACTCCACCATATGTGAATATACAATTTGTTTATGCATTCATAGAAGGGGAATTAGGTGCATGAGATCACTCTGCCATCTTTACAGGAATCTCATGACCATCTATTTTTAAAATACAGAATAAAAGATGAATACAGTGGAGGTCTTCCTTTTTCATTGTCCTCCCCCCCCCCACTGATTATGTTTTGTCTATGTGTGTGTGTGTGTGTGAGAGAGAGAGAGAGGCAGAGACAGAGACAGAGAGACAGAGAGAGCACATATGTACACAAGTGTAGAAGCCAGAGATCGGCCTTGGCTTCCACATCTTTGACCTCTGATATTCCTGATCTTATTTTATGAGACAAGGCCTCTCACTGAACCTGGGTTCACCTCACTGATTCAGCTAGATTGGCTGTTCAGTGTTTCAGGGATTACAGACTCTTGCTGCCAAGTTGAACTTTTTATGTGGGTGCTGGGCATCAGAACTCTGGTCCTTACTTATGGGCAGCAAGCACTTTACTGACCAAACTGTCTCCTCATTCCCTGTTTTGAAGAGGCTCGGCCCCCTTATTCAGGCATTCTGACCACCTCTCCTGTGGTCCTCATCATTGTGTGTGTACTTCTATTCTTACCACTGTCACTCCACAGGACCCTCCAGTTTGTGAATATGCTTCAACTAGATTGGGCTCCTCAGAGCAGGGACTGTAATCTTATCTGCTCTAGGCCCTGTAAATTCAGCCTGGGATACAGGAGACTCTATCTCAAAACAAATAAACAAGCAGACAAGAAAAGAAATAGTATTGGGTGTTTAGTCTGGGTACTTCGGTATGTGTGAACTGTAGAAATAAGATACTCTCAAAATTTATATACATTAATTACACAAGGCACTTTGGCAGGTATATTTTCTTTTACAAACTGAAGAGAAGAGTTGATGACCACTGGCAGGCATTAGTTTATTAAGAACTGCCACGTGGAACTTAGTACATGCATGTTTAAAAGAAATCCATCTCATGTCCTGACTTTCTGGAGTGTTTGGATTCACTGAGCAGATAAAACATGTAGGTTGAAACTCTTTTCTGTGGCTCTATAGGAATTGATCTGGACTTTTGTGCATCCTTCCAGACAGTTCTGGTATCCTTTGCATAAAGCCATTCTCCTCAAGCCACACTTGGCTTTTTATGTCCTTTGCTACCTCTGGGTCATTCGTTGAAGATACTTCAGGTTTCTCACTTTCTGGCTTAGACCAAAATATCTTTGGGCTAAAAAGAGACCTGGCACTGTCCTGAGAATATTGATCCTGCTGGTTTTAGATCTGGTGCCTTTTTATAGGCATCCCCACCGTCAGCACTGGAGTAATTAAGAGTGTCCCCAGGCTGGTGGGTATTGGGACCTGACCACAAAAGTGCTTAGCAAGCAGACTTTTCCTCCTCCGTGTTTTTCAGCTGACCTCAACGTCCATGGCAATGACACAGAGGGAGTCCTTTCCTGTCTGTCCTTTTGACAAAGAGCAATTACACCATTGCTACCATACTTTATACACAATTGGATCATTCTCGTGAACACACTTCCAGTGGCATGTGAAGGTTAGAAATCCTCTACTTTGTGCAGGAGGGCTACAGATTACTTTTTACCAAAAAGCTGGCATAAATGGCTTTGTCTCAGAGTTCAGAGATCATACACTAAGCTTTTATGAATAGTGTTTAGTCCAGGAAAACAAGAATTCCTTTCTCTCTACTTTAGCCATACACCTTTCTTTTCTTAAGACAGGGTCTCATATATCCTAGGCTGGCCTCAAGCTTGCTATATAGCCAAGCATGATCAAATTCCTGAACCTCTGCTCTACCTCCAGAGTGCCGTGATAGGGGTAGGAAGTCTTCCCCCAGGGACCATCTGAGCCAGTGGCAAATATTAGCCTGATGCAGCCACAAGCCAAGGGACCCTGAGAACCAACTAACGTTGAAGGAAGCAGGCAAGGATTTTCCCCTAGATGCTTGGGAGGGGTCCTGACTGTGGACACCTTGACCTCAGACTTCTGGCCTGCAGAATAGTGACACCAAAGTTCCTGTTGTCCTGAGCACTGTGGACTGCAGTACATTGCTATAACCTGACCAAAAGCAATTTAGGGAGCAAAGGGTTTGTTTGACTTATACTTTCAGGTCATGGCGTACCATTGAGGGAAGCAGGGCAGGGACTGGAAAACAGGCTCATTTGCTGTTCCACAGCATTACCTCTAACCAGGGAACTTACTCAAAGCCAGTGAAGTGCAGCAGAAACCATGGAGGGATGCTTTCAATGGCTGTCATAAGCTCGTGCTTGGTTAGCTTCCTTATAGGGCCCAGGAACACCTGTGGGCTTCTGTAAAATAACAAACAAGCTATGTGCTTTTTATTCCAAAAGGGAATACCATCTCATGCTGCTTTTGTCTGCAGATACCCCAGTTTCTTCTTGAATGCTAAAGACAGTTTTGAAGGGCAGCCAACTAGCTGCTAAGTTCCCTCTATTCGCCAGCTTGACAGATAAGAATCTAACCTTCTTCAATATTTCTCATGAATAAGCTGAAGTCCTTGGCTTTCTAACCTTCTGTCCCTTGAGTCCTTCTCTCTGGCGTAACAATATCATATCACCAACGGGTAAAGAGCAACAGAAAGAAATCCAGATTCTCTTCCTGCTTGAAACATGAGGTTAATTGGCCGGAAAACAAACAGTATTGATTCTTACCTCTTCCTGTCTTCTTTCTGAAACAACTCATGTGTGCCACTATTGATGTAGTATTGGCCTTGTTTTTAAGATTTAGACTTTAATACAATTTCTGGTTCATTATTTTTTCACACTTGTTTTCCCTCAGTTCCTTGTGGGCCAGCGGTACCTGAGCTATTGGAAATTTAAAGGATTTTACCTTTGACTATACTGCTTTTGATTGGTAAAGCTTCAAAGCAAGTAGAAATCCAGGCCATTTGGGGGTGTGACACAATAGGAGGCCAGGAAGGGGTCCTATATTCCTCTGTGTTCCTTCACCAGCCAATGAGAATTTGCTGAGTGCCTACCAAGTGCTAGGCAGGGAGCTAGCAAGTGAGGGTCATAGCGATGAATCAGCTGTGCGTTGTATTTCCCACGTGGAGCTTATGACCTTGGAGGCAGCAAGGAGAGATGAAAGGAAATGACACAAATGAATGCATAATTGCAAGCTATAAAAGGTCTTGGCAGACAGGTGTCTGGACATGGTGGGAGCAAAAACCACAGGAAACCATCCCACGGCCAGGAAGGCTTTTCAAAGAAGGCACACTTGCCTGAGATCTGAAGGGTAAGTGGGTGTTTCATTGGGTGAAAGAAGGAAGTGGGGTTGGGAAGGAGATTTTCCAGTCAAGGGAACACTGTGTACAGATGCTCACTCAGGCAGATAGCCATAACATGTAAATACGTGCCCCTGTAGACCATGGAGTTGTGAAGGATGGGACAGCAGACAGTTAGGTTCCACAGGTAGATGAGGTTGCTTGAGACTCTCCACTTGTCTCTAACCATGTGTAGATCTTTTTAGGTTTGGAAAAGTCCTGGAATCCTGGGGCCAGTAGTGTCCCAAGAGTTCTCTCTGGTTAGCCTTATCCATGATGCATGAAGAGACTGTCTAAAGAGTCCAACAACCAGAAAGTAGTAGGTTTTGTCAGAAAGAAAAATATTTTTCATATTGTCTTGTCATTGAAGGAAATAGATGGGATTCTTTGGGCATAGAGAGATGTACAACTGAAACTTTCTCCTCTGACTTCTATCCACCTGAAACCCACTCACCTAAGGCCTGCCAGTCATACAAGAAAGCCATCTGAAGGACACAAATTGTCACCCGGGCACAGGGAATCAATGTGGAAAAGGAGACCCAGAGTAGGAGGCACTGACTTCTCCCTAGGACACCATCTTGGCCATTCCTGATGGACCACACCTTTCCCTGTGTTCAGGGAGCTTAGGGTGCATGTCTCAATCTGATGTGTGACTTTTCTTAAGGGGATGGGAACAGATGTCTACTTATCTCAATTAAGACACTGACAACAGAGCGAACCAATGACTCCACCCAAGTCTAGATCAGAGAACCAATGGGCTTCCCTGAGTTATAGGAGCATGGATGATGCAAAGGAAGTTGTATCACCTTAAGACCCACTACAACATGAGTGATGACTCCCAAAATTGCATCTTTGGAGTTCCTTGTTCAACTTGCAGACAGCTCCACTGGAGATAGCATCCTCCTGCTTGTCCATTTGCCCCAATTTCTTTTTATAGTGTATATAGTCTTGAGGAGGGGCCTCTTGAGTTTATAACCTGAACATCCTGATCCTTGTGTCTCTTTAGCTTCCAAAGCCTTAAGAGCCTTATTCCTCCCTCCGGGAGGGGATGTTTGGAGGAAATATCCATCAACACCATCACAACCTATTTGTCTAAACAAACACTAGCTACCTTTCTGCCTCCCAAACAGGTGCAGGGTTCTTCAAGGGACCTGTGTTTTTTCAGTTTATGTTTTGTGCCTAGCATCTGGCATGTACTTGTTAGGTATACAATAAATATTTGTTGATGTAATAAGTACACATTTTTATTGTGTGTGTGGTATATGCATATGTACATGCAGTGGGTAGCTGTTCTGTCTGTGACCTTGAGGCACCGCCCCTAGAAAGGCAGCAGGAAACTGTTCTACCTGCCTATGACCTTGGAGTACATGCCATGGAACATGGCCTCTTGGCGACCCTTAAGACCTGAGATGCACGTATGTACGAGCTCTCTTCTCTGCCTTGTAGTTTTGGATACGGAACTGACTCAGGTGGTTGGAACAGCATTCCAGAACCTGTGACTAGTATATTCTGTACAATGAGTTTTCCCCCTAATAAATTCCTTCACCCTTTAAACAGACTCTGTGGATTTCTTGCTATATGTACATGTTCTTATGTGTGTTGATATGCTTGCATCTATGTGCAAACACCTGTGGAGGCCTGAGGTTGATGTCAGGTGTCTTCATCTGTTGCTTTCCACCTTAGTTTTTGAGACAGAGTCTGTCATTGAACCTAGAGTTCACTGATTTGACTAGACTGGCTGGCCAGTGAGTTCTGGAGACCTCCTGTCTCCACTCCTCCCCTCCTCAGCCCCCACACTCCCTGTCCCTGCTCAACCGGCACTGGAATTACAGACAAATGCCACCATGTCTGTCTTTTACATTATTTACATTTGAGACAGGCTTTCACTATGTTGCCCTGGCTGGCCTGGAATTCGCCATGTAGACCAGGCTGGCTTCAAATTCAGAGATCTTCCTGCCTCTTCCTCCCAGGACTGGGATCAAAGGCCCACACCTGGCATAAGGATGTCTGAACTCACGGCCGCATGCTTGTACAATGAACTTTACCCACTGAGCCATCTGTCCTGCCCCAGAGACCCAATTAATCTGCATTCTATTTTAATCTCCAAACCTTTTGAGGCTGAACCAAGATTACCTAGATAGGTAAATGGAATTGTTAGATTACAGGTATTTTCCCACTACTTTATGCATAGTAGGGTCCATGAGTGACTTACTGAATAGGCAGTTGTCAGATTCAAAGGAAACTCCACTTCCCCAAAGTCTATGCTAGACAAAAAGCAGCATTCCTCAAGAACTTGAGAAGCCAGTTCCTCTCTACCAAAAGGAGCCATTTCTCTTGTCACTGGCAGGAGGGACGAATATGTGTGGTGGCTATTAGCATACCAAGTGCATGCTGGCCTCCAGGATCCCTCAGCATCACAAGTACCAAGTGCATGCTGGCCTCCAGATCCCTCAGCATCACAAGTACCAAGTGCATGCTGGCCTCCAG